AATATGTGATTATTTGTGTGTGTGTGTGTGTACATACTTGATATGTAAACTTATTAGCTTGATATGTTTACTGTTTAAGTCAGAGTTTTTTCTTAATGCATTTCGTTTATATGACCAAGGGAATAGGATCCTCTCCTGAGCAAATGCTCAGGATCCTCATGACCAACCAACACGAGCCGTTGGATTTTGATTCAACGGCTATAATTATTATAATTTTTAGAGGGGGCCCCTGTTTGTAGCCGTTGGATCAAAATTCAACGGCCCGTGTTGTTGGTCATGAGGATCCTATTTCATGTCCAAGAAGAAAATAGGGAGACAATGCATACTTAGGGCCCGTTTGTTTGATCGAATTAGGGAGGATTGGACTAGACTGGACTATAGTCCCTTGTTTGGTCTGCACTAGGATTAGGTTTAATAACCTTAGGTTGGACTCGCTCGGATTATACACCTCCTTACGAGTTCTTAAAGAGGATCCCCAATTTCGAGCTGACTCGTAAGCCCTTCTAATAGAGAGAAAACCGCGAGAGAGTCACTCGTCCAAGAACCCCCCAAGGTCACTCGTCCAAGAACCCCCCCAAGGTCACTCATCCTGCTCGTCCTCATCTCTAAGTCTTCCCTCATCGTTGTCCTTGCCCTGCTCCCTCATCGTCGTCCCTATCATCTACCATTTTCAAACCCAGATCCCACAAAATTAGAAACGAAAGGCAAAAATTTTTGCAATATTTCCATTTTCAAAACTAGATCCAAATCCAAAATTCAGAACCAAAAAGCGAAAAAAAAAAATACAAAATCGTTGTGCGTCTAAAATGCTCAGCAGCTGTGCTCACACTGCACCTAGTCTAGACTCCCTGATCGCAGACCTTTGCTATTGACGTTGGAGAAGCAGACCCATGAATACCCAGATGACCCAGACTCTGAATGGGTTCTGATTTGCCAATTGGGTCCCAACAAAATTAGGAAGAAAAAAGGGAGATGAGTAGAGAGAAATAGGAAGAAAAAGATGGAGATGAAGAGAGAGAGAGAGAGAGAGAGAGAAAGAGAGAGAGAGAGAGAGAAAGGAGCGAAGAAGAAAGAGGAAGAAACAAAGGGAGAGGGACGAAGCAAACTTGGAAAGAAATGGGGAGATTAGCGGAAAAGAATTAGGAATGGGGATGGGTGGTTTCTAGGATGAAAAAAAAGATAATGGTAGTAATAAAATATTACTAAATGTGTATTAAATAATACAAAATATTAATCAATATATGAATTAAAAATATATTTGTTATTGTCCAGCTTTTTAGTCCGACACTGCACCAAACGCTTTATTAAGTTAGTCTAATCTAAATCAGTCCAGCTTAGTCCCTGAAGCTAGTCCAGTCCGAGATAGTCCGGTGCAACAAACGCACCTTTTAGTTTAGTCGCTATAACAACTTAAATATTTAAACTAAATACAATTGTCTAATATGTATTGTATTAAAACAACATAAGAGGTTTTTCAGTGTGATTGTCACACTATCACATGATGTTAGTGTAAGGTAAAAAAAATTTAAATTTCAGGGATTTAGGTTTTTTTTTTTTTTTTTTTTTTATGTTTTTGTTTGTTTTCTTTTGGTGATTTAGTATATTTCACTCCCACCTTAAAGCATCTCTAATGGGAACCCCTAAATAGTCTCTACAACAGTATAATCCCTAAAGATAGGGACAAAAAAGGCTTCAACAGTATAGTCCCTAAATAATGGGCAAAATAAAAATACTCAAAGTATCTCAATATATAAGAACTCGCTGAATTGAGATCTTCAAATGTGATGAATGTATATAACTTCAAAACTAAGTTACAAACCTTTTTACTTTTCCTAAGTCCTTTTTGGGATCTAGGTTTTCCTGAAGTAAATATTTCAGGTGACTTTGACTCTTCCTCCTCCTACAACCACTTGTATACTATCTAAATACATACGTACCTCCGCCATGGCATCACGACTTTTGACTCTTCCTCTTTCACCACCGCCTTCATTGAAACCGACAAGAAGTTAATAACGAATACCAGACAGTTAGGGTTATTACAATATGAAATGTAATACTAATAGTCATCTCCATCATATTTCTAATCATCATGATCAGGCCATTACTAAGTCAGTTGTTAACTGATCTTATCTCATACTTAACTACATAGCAGTAGCAAAGTCAGAAATTGTCAAAAGATATAGGAGAAATTTAAAAGGGTAAAAGATACAAAAAAAAATATAGACAATCAAATCCATTTAGATAATAAGCAATATTAATGTCGTTCATAAAATTTCTTTCTATTTTTTTAAACTAATTTATCTACACTAAGGAGATGGGGTGGGTTTAGCTCTACAATGAGCAACAATAATTTCTTTCTATTTTTAGCATCTTTATTTCCAATGAATCTTCTGCTTTTCTGAGTAATTTCTGAATCACTATTTTTACCGTTAATTTATTGTTTTTATTGCTAATATTCTGATATTCTTGTTGTTTTTGTTGACAATGTTTTTATTGTTTTGGGTTTTTTTTTTTTTTTCGGGGGGGGGGGGTGGGTTTGAATTATGTTATGAATTTGACTTTTATATAGAATTTTGAATTGGGTCTTAGTTTCCAATATTTTTTTTTGTTGAGAATTTTCAATTTTTTGAAGTGTAGTTTTCCCCATTGAATGTGTTCCATTTGGTTTTTTGAAATCTTCAACTTTGAATTTTGAGAAGTTTGAACGTTTAATTATCTAATTTTTGAGTTGTCATCGACATGGTCTGGTTAGAATCTGAATTGCTGGTCTTTGTCCAGTTCTGTTCTTGCAATTCATATGTTTTTGTCTTTTGAATTGATTAAAGTGGGTGTGTTTGATGTACTTTGATCCTGCTGGCTCCGTTCGTTAGCAGGGTTTGGAACTAAAGTTTTGCAATGTGAAATCCAAGCTTGGTTTGCTAACAAAATTGGTATAAAATATCATCTACTTATTCAAAATGACGCCCTTTTTTTCCTAGGTTCAAAACAACGTCGTTTGCCTGGATGTTTTGAAAGCAACATCAAACGGAATTGCAAGTTTCCGTCCTGGTTCAGAGAAACCAAAAGGACAGATTCTCGCTCTTAGGATAGGTTTATGACAACCAAAGGTGCAGCCGCACCTCTTGCGCCTATGTGCCTTCGCCACTAGGTAGGCCCAACATTTTGAATGGTATCAAAGGCAAAGTAGCTCATGTGTGAAATTTTATATTAAAAAGCCTACGTACAATTAGGTGTCATAATTTAAATCTCCCCTCCCTTCCCCCCACGTATCTTGCTTTGGAGAGATTTTTTAGTGTAACCGGCACACGAGGTAGTACACCATATGTCATTATACAAATATTGGGACATGTGTGTTAAAAAGTTAATAACTTAAAAAATAAAATTTCTCACCACTTACATAAGAACACGTGGTGTATCACTCGTCTTCCCATCACAATAAAAAATTTATCCTTGCTTTGCAGTAAAGAAATTGCTATAGAACCTAGATTTCTTCCAAACTCTCATCTTTCCCCATTCTCAGATCCAAGACGCACTCTTTTAGAAAGCTCAGGAATTAGATTCTAGGTTAAAATATAAAAAACTACCTCAACTATTGGTGTCACGACACTTTCATACCTCATCTTTTAAAATTGACAATGTCATACATCATCTTATTAATTTGTGCCAATATCAGAACTCCATCAGTTTTTCTACTACTTTTTCTGTTAAATGCTGACATGGCCAGAAACGGAACCCATTTTTATTAAAAAATAATTAAATATTAAAAAATTAAAGAAAAAAAAACAATAAACAATAAACCAAAAAAAACCCATCAATCCGTGTCCCCCCTCCCCAAAAACCCAGATCCCCTTCTTTGAGTTCTCCCCCACCCAATCCTCTCTCTCTTTTCTCTCTCTCTCGCCTCTCTCTTTTCTCTCTCCCTGCAACCTGCATCCCAAAACCCAGAAACCATTCCCACTCGAGTCGTTACCGCCGACGAGCTTTCAATCCTCTAAGCCGACGATCGCCGATGAACCCCAAACCCTTCCCCGCCACTCCTGATGGCGTCGGAGCTCTCCTTCTGGCACATAGGTGCTTCTGGTTCCCCCACTTCAAATACCACGGCAAGTTGAAATTGTGCAGAGGCTTCGCCCTCTCAGAACCCATCACCATGGACTTCACCTCCACTCTCTCCTCCTCATCTGACCCGCCTATATACACCATTTATCGGAAACTTAGACCAAAGAGAGCCACTCTCAGATCACAAGTCTCTCGCTCTCTGTTTCTCGCGCCTCCTTTGATTTTCTCGGAAAATCTCAGAATTTTCTGGGAAAAAAGGAGAGTTTTTCTATAGGGATTGTTGTTGTTGTTGTTGTTATTGTTTTGTTTTTCTCTCGCAAATCGTCAGAGAGGCTAACTCTGGGGGCGAGGTTGTGGCTAGAGTTAGGGTTTGGGGGCGATTAGGGGGAGTGGTTGTCATCGCTGGAGTCAACGACAGAGGTAGGGTTGTTGTCGGTGGGATCGGAGAGGAAGGTTAGGGGAAGGGGACGGGTGGGAAGGATTTCTGGGTTTTGGGATTTTAGGGATGCAGGTTGCAGGGAGATAGAAGAGAAAGGCGAGAGAGAGAGAGGAGAGGGAGAGTTGGGTGTGAGAGAACTCAGATAAGGGGATCTGGGTTTTTGGAGAGGGGGACATAGGTTGATGGGTTTTTTTTTTGTTTTTTTGTTTTTTTTTTTTAAATATTTAATTAATTTTTTAATAAAAATGGGTCCTGTTTCTGGCCATGTCAGCATTTAACAGAAAAATTGACAGATGTCTAATATTGGCACAAATTCATAAGATGAGGTATGACATTATCAATTTTAAAAGATGAGGTATGAAAGTGTTGTGACATCAATAGTTAAGGTCGTTTTTTGTACTTTACCCTAAATTCTATAATAACTTAATATACTATATTTGTACATGGGACATTACTCAAACAACAACAAAATTCAGAAAATTACTGAAATGCCCAAGCATCATAATCCATAATCTTTTCAATATATTAACTTCAAGTTTCATACATCTGAGCAGCTTAAAAAACTAGCCGTTGGAATTTGGAACCCAAAAAATGGCTACCCAATAATAATTAATAGCTTAATTAGCTAGATTTCCTAAATTAACAATCAAACATCATTAATTTTTTCTTTTAAACTAGCATTATACAAGAGGCTAATATCATAAATACCCCTGCCATTCTGTCACATTTCATTTTAATTGAAGCCCCCGCCACCGTCTTTTCCGACTTCTCCGCCTTGTACGGGTACGTGCACGCATCGTAACCTGCCAACCAATTTGCCCCTCAATTTTCTTTTTCTTACAAAAACACCCACAATATTTGCATAATTAAAAAAATTAAAAATTATTGGGGATAAAATTAAATGAAAAGCTTACTGGGATCGGTGGTGGTGACGACTCCGGTGTGCTTGAAGTCACAGTTGGAATCCTGCGGACCATTCGCCTGGTAATATGCGTTCATGATGTAAGCAGCGTGTGACTTCACCGTATTGGGCTGAAAACAGGGCCCACCTTCCTGTATGGGCTTGCAATCCACTCCACTGCTGCACACGAAATCTATGTTCTTTTGCAGCGCCGCATCCGAAGCGTCCGATCTCGGCACGCACCACGTCTTCCCCGCCGACGGCGACGGTGCTTGTGCTCCACCGGACGCGGGCCCCTCCGCCACTCCAGACTTTGGTCCGGCGGCCACCCCCGAGTTGGGACCAGCCGCCACGCTCGACTTGGGAGCCGCTGCCTAAATAACATAATTAATTTAACACAGTTATTATACGAAAACGACAACGACAGGCGGGCTTCTGTCGTAGGAGTTGTCGGAGCTCAGAAGCATAAACGCGGGAAATGGGCTGTGAGCTCGGACACGTGTCAAAACAACAAATAGCACATGAAGGAAGAGACAACTCTAGATTATTTACCCCCCAAAGTCACTGAAATTACGAAGTTACCCGTTGGTTGCGCAAAATGCCCACATCGTAAACCGGGTTGAAGTCGGGTTTGAACAACCCGTAATTCTGCTCCGACTTCGACGGCTTCAGATTCTCGTTGAACAACGCGAAGACGTAGGTCTCGAACGTCCGGTTCGGCATCAGCGGCGTGCCTTTGTCTGAGCTCACGTGCTTGATGAGGTTTCCGTTATACGATGCCGCATTGTCGACGGTCGCATCAGACTGGGTCGGGTCACCTACGGAGGGCCAACCCGTTTCGGCCACCACGATGTCCACGTCCTCGTAACCGACCTTCTTCATCGCCGTATAAACCGCGTCTATCTGGGCGTCGAACATGTTCGTGTAGTTCATCCCCGTGGCGTTGTCGAAAACGCCGCCGTTTGGCTTGAACAGCGCGTAGTTTAGAGTCTCGGGAACGGATCCGAAAAACGGGTACGGGTTGATTAGAAACGGGGACTTGGTCTGGCGATGGAAATCGAGCATCGGAGCGAAAACCACTCGGTCGTAACCCGTTCGGAATCGGCCTTCACTCGGTGGACCCGTGTTGGGGGCGAGAATTCCCAGAGAGTTAGGTGTCCCCACCTGAATGGAGGAGATGTTCGCGAGCTCGAGCGCCGAGTGAAGTGACTTCATAGCCGGCAGTAGGTGCGCGATGAGGTCCTTGTCCGACGTGGCGAGGATTTCGTTGCCCACGGCTATTCGGTTGATGGTCGTGCGCGGGTGGAACGGCAGGATGTTGTCGGCCACCCATGACTGCGCCGCGGAGAGCTTGGCAAGGGCGGGAACGTCGCCGTTTCCAACAGTGACGGTTACAGCGATGTTGGTGCCGGCGAAGACGCGGAGGATGTCGGGGTTGGCGTCGAAGATCTTGACGCGGTCGATGGTGGTCTTGGTCTTGAGAAACGTGGCGACTTTGGAGGGCGGCGGGAGGTTGTCCGCTATGGTGCCGTAGTTGACGCCGATGGAGTAAGCGGTGGTGAGGAGGATGACATGACAGGCGGAGAAGAGGAGGAGGTGGAGGAGGGAGAGCTTGAGTGGTGGCTCCATGTCTGAAAGGAAATGGAGATTTCTCAGCTAGCAGCAGACGTTTGTGGAAACTTGAAAGTTTATGACTAGATGAATGGGGAGGGTGTGGAGCCTGATGAAGGGGACGTTACGTGTTTGTCGAGTTTGCCGTCTTTGACGTGTTTGTTTTGTTCGGAACACGTTTGTTTTCATACAAGTAGTGAAAAGTTAGTATTTTTGAAGTTATTAATTTTTTAAATTTTATATTTCACTATTTTTATAGTGTCACGTAATATATAATTATTTATTTTAATCATATTAAAAAATTTCTTGAATGGACGTTTTGTGTACATTTTTGGTTTATTGGTAAAAAAGGAAACCGGATCCCCTCGAGCCTTCTAAGTAAAACATCCCAATTGTTGAAATTCAATTCAACAACTGTAAATAAAATATCCTTCTAAAAATTATAATAATGATTTGTTCAGAAGGTTCACCCTCCTAAGCTCAGATCCAGTACCGTAAAAAAGGGGGAGTTGATGAGTGGAGACCGGAGAGACGTGGCGTGGTGGGTTAATTGCTTCTGGTGTATTGGGTTATTTTGGCATTTTAGCAGTTAATATATATTAATTCTCAGTGACAGTGATAGTGCGACAGTGCCAAGTGAACTGTGTTACGGTAAGTTCCGTCTGTTTTCCACTTGGAGTTCACAAAAATTCTACTGCATTCTGACGTATCACACGAACGAAAATCATAATAGACAATTAAAAACGCAAATAGAAGTTAAATGATAAAGGATTTTAGTATGTAACGTTAGAAATTTTGTATATCATTTTAGCCTAAAAAAGATAATATTATGTTAAAATCTTAACAAAATAGGCCGAAACGATCATAATTGATTAATTAATTTATTAAGATTTGATTTCTCATCATTTTGGTTGATTCGTTGATGTCTTAAGGTAGAAAAAAAAACATCAATGGTTAAATATTTCTAAATAAATAACGTGTTGTAGTTTTTGCGTCTTTTGAAAATAGATCTATGTAATCGCACATGCTTATTACACTAAACAATGACTAAAATATTATTTTGTATATGCTCTTATCGGTAGCCTGCACATGACAGATAAGTGCTTAATTTCACATGGACATTACAAATTTTTATCAATTTAAAAGTACATCTTAGGAATTTGTCATTGAGTTACTATAAATGAGTTAAAATAGGCTTCATGTTACATAAAACTGCACAAGCATATTGCTAAGAAAAATCCACCATCATTGCACAAGAAGGTAGCTTTCATCTCATTATTTATTACAAATTTTTAACATACCATTAGGCCATCTCCAACCGAGGGTTGGTCAGAGGGCTCATTTTAGCCCTCTGGCCCTCCAAGATATTAATATTTTAATGAATAGTACAAGGGCATATTTGCCTCTGTCTCCAACCGAGCGCCAAAGGGTCCTAGGGTTCGTTTAGCCCTGTCACAAAAAACCGTCTCCAACCGAGCGCCAAAGGGTCATAAGGCCAAACATAATTTATTATTTAAATTTAAAAACTACAACAACTTAAATTCAAATCCAACAACAATTAAATTTAAAAACTACAATGGTAACTGGCCCAAAAAACCAAAAAAATTAGAACTTAAATTTAATGAATGGTTTAGGTATTTATAGGGAAAAAAAAATTAGAATTTTTAAGAATTAAAAGAAAAATTGGCCCAAAAAAAAAATTGAATACAACGGCTAGTCAAAAATTTTTTAAGCAATCCTGTCGAAATTTTTTTAAGCAATCATGTCGGTTATAATCGACAAGATTGCTTTATTTTCTGGCCAACCTCAGGCTAGCTGGCTGGTTGCATGCAACTAGCCCTCCAGCCCTTTGGCCTTTTCAAATTTCGTTGGGCCCTTCAGATTCCACGAGCCCTTTGACCTAACCCTCGGTTCGAGACGATTTTCGGGTTATTTTCGACCCTCTGACCCTCTGGACTATTCGGTTGGAGATGGCCTTACCCTTACTAAATTTTGAAGGTGGTATACAATCCCAATATTTTATTTCCCCACTTACATATAACCTCACCCACAATAAAAAGTTAAAAAAAAAATTGAAATGTTATTTTCCCACATGTTATTATTTCTAAAATAAACTATTAACTATTATACATACATACATATATATATCTAATTTCTTTTTAATTGTTCATAATAATAAATAACCTCCACTCACCGCCAAAGCCTCCCTTCACGATTTTTTTTCCCTGTTTAGAATTCCAAAAATTCGATCACTTCCAACCAATTGCACCTCTCGTTCCCTCTCTCCAAACCCTCAACACAAGCCCTTTCCCTTGCCCTTCCAAATCCTACAACCAAGGCTCATACTGCATTCCGAAAACTTTGTCCTCATGCCCCATTTCCAAATTTGCTACAACCCAAGCGCACGCCTCCAAGGCCAATTCCTTCTTTTGGTCTCCCATTTGATTTTTCAATTTTTTTAAATATCTATTATACACAATTCGACATGGAACGCATATGATAGAGAAGATGCTCCAACATTAGGAAACTTTGTCATGATTAGAAGGTGATGGTGGTGAAGCATGAGTAGGCATAGAAGGAGGACGTGAAGAAGAGGAATTCATGATAGTTAAACAAAGTATTTGAGCTTTCACATAAACTTTCACATGCAGCTGTAGTTCTTTATTCTTCTCAATAAGAAGGTATTTATAGAAACGAGATATAAACGAACTCAAAAACAGGAAATACATAATTGAACAAGCAAACTTATTTTTGACAATAAACCTAGATATTATTTCTCCTAAAGTTAATTAGGAAATAAGACACGATCTCAAGTACTTTCTTTTTTTCTCATTCTCCAAATCTACAAGAGAAAGAGAGGTGGCAAAGAACTGAAGAGCTTTGTTAGCCATAGTTATTTAATAAGAAGAATAAATACAGTGCTTTAATTCCATTCGGAGGGAGGTTAACTTCTATTTTCCTTAGGCAACAAGTTCGACTGCTATCTGCCGTCTAGAGAAAAATCAAAGGAAAAATTCTTTGCCGCTCCTGTCTTTGGCTTTGGGGTCAACAGCAATCTTCTTGAAAATTATTTTTCATTTCATCTCTCTCACTTTCCGTTTACTTTATTTGAAGTTGAATTGTCACCGTGAGCGTTGTAGTCACCGTGATAGTCGTTATCTTTTGACCCACACACATAGTTAACACAAGGTTTTGGATCTAATTATCACCTTCGATATAAGATTGAAGTGGAAGTCATGAAAGATGTCGAATTGCATTGCGATTGAGTTTAGTAAGTACGACACTTTGGGTTTAGCCAGTGCAGTGATATGACATGCAGATGTCCGAATGATGCGGAGTGACAACATGATTTTATCCTTTTATTTTGTTTGTTTAATAATTTCCAGGAATTGTCCTGGATTTTGGTTCGATTTCTCTATGCAGGAGAGTTTACTAGTTTGATTTCTCTCTTTAGGAGAGTGCATGATTTTAATTTTCGTTTTGGTGTGTTGCCTCTTTTGGATCTATGTGGGAAGGGTGGAGCTATTTGATTTGCTAGAACTACTTCATTTGGTGTTCTGGGATCGTGGCTTTGATTAAGTGATGTGATTGATCCATGGGCATCGTACACCCCTATCTCAATTTATGGTTTGAGGTTTTGTTCTCACATGATCTCCTATAACATGATGTTTAACAGTTTTATTGATTTGTGTAATCGTGCAGATTCCAATAAGCTCGGTCGAGTGATTGAAGTCGCCTCATTACTTTGCGATTAGTGATGCTTTATTGGCATATTTTTAGATCTAGTTTGCAAGGACCCTTTTGGGGCCAAATTCATGATATGTATTTGTAATGCCCTTTTATCAATGAATGAAATATCGTAATTTTCTTCATGAAAAAAATAAAAAATAAAAAATTCAACTACTATATTAGTTCTCATTTAGAAATTTTTTTTACAATGTGGCTGAAACACTGAGCAATATGCATCTAGAGATTTACAAGAGGAAATATAGTTTCACTGTGACTGTAAAAGGTAATAAAATATTAGGGAGTTTTAACAAAAAGCCCACGTTACTGTTTACTTTAACGAAAAATCACATTTTTACACTAAAAAGTCAATCCTGGTACTATTCACTTTACGCTTTATTTTGTCCTTATCATTAAAACTCAAAGTTTTCAAACCATTTTCATTAGTTTTCTAAAATATTAACTTCAAATTAGGAAACAGCTCACGCCAACACTCTTCCAAGTTGGTGCATTGTACTGGACTGATGTGAGAGGCAGAGATTCCAAATTGATATACAATTCAAAAAAAACAAAAAAAACAAAAAAACAAAAAAACAAACATAGAGATTCCTTGGGCAACAAGTTTCAAAACTGGCCAGGGTTTTCCTGTCTATAATGTGATATTTAGGAAACAAAAATTTAAAATAGGTAGTGATCTCTTATTTTTCTTTTTAACCATTGAATTGAATAAATTAATAAAAAAAATAGAGACAAAAATAGAATGCTTGAATCACTCGGCTTTAATAAAATAAATGTGTTGAAAAAACAAAATATTCCAAAAATAAATAAATAAAATGCTGTATGAACAATTGACAATCCAAAACTTAACAATAACCATTGGATTAGACCAACAGTTAATGTTATTCAGATTGTTGGAAAATCGTTCTTTTGTTTTTATATTTCCCCTCTTCTAAAACATAAAACTCACATATCCCTACTAAATAAACCGTCTTAACAGAAGGAAACAGATGAAACTAGACATGACTTAGATATACGTTTAGGAGACAACTGTTATATGTACTCCAAAATACGATTACACTAACATACACTCGAACACGAGCACAACAAGCTTACTGTTAGTTTTGGAGTGCCAATAGCATCTCTTCGAAACAAAAAACTACAACAAAGGAAAATATAAGACGGTTTTTGAATATCCCTGTACCCAAAAAATCCAAATGCCAAAAAACAATGTCGATGAGCTCTGCTGTCCTGCGATATGAATTCTTTCGATCCAAAAGATACCAGAAAAAGATCAAAAGGGAAGGAATACGGGGAAAGA